ATTTTAATTTGTCTGCAAGGAAAAAAAGGAGTCAGAAAGATTAAGTAATTAGTCCAATATCACAGAACTGGAATTTGAACCCTGATCTTTTAATGTGAAGTCCAGAACTCATTTCACTGGAGGAAAAAAAAAAACAGGATTGAGAGACTATAAAAGCAAAGGTGGGATTAAAAAAAAAAATACTCCAGTATTCTGCAGTAGCATGATCTGCCTTTAGTTGAGAGAGCATTGGACTGGAAGTCAGAAGACATGATTTCATGTCCCAATCCTGTCTCTACACCACTCTCTCCATTAACCTTCCAGTGTCTCTTCTGTCTTACATTCCTGTCGGGTTTGCTGTGAAGATTAAATGAGATCACAGATGTTAAAGTGCTTTGAAAATCATGCTGATGTAAAACATTTTCACACTCAAGGGACTAAAGGTCTCCATCAATCCTCCGAGCCCATATTAGCATGAAATAAATAATACTATTGAGATAAAATAGCAGAGGAGACCAAACAGATTTGACTTTCAAGGAACCTTAGGAAAAAAATTAGAAAACAAACAAGGAAGAAAGGTGTTAGAAAAAAACAAGTGAGGAGGGAAGTTATAGGATTAAACAATATAATGAAAGTAATTGAAGAGCCAAAAAGAAGGTATCATCCCCTTACCTCTTAGAAAGATTAAGCACTATAAGCTTCCAGCTAAATTCTTGTTAATGTGATTATCAGATTTTTTTCACAAAGAAAATCTGTCAATTTTCTCAATCCATATGCTAGCATTTGGGATGGGGCAGCTAGGCAGTGGTTAGAGTGCTGGGCCTCAAGTCAGGAAGACCTGAGTTCAAAAATGGCCTTATATATTTACTAGCTATGTGACTCTGGGCAAACCAATTAACCTTTTTTGCCTCAGTTTCTTCATCTGTAAAATGAGCTGGAGAAAGAAATGGCAGACCACTCCAGTTTTTTGTTTGTTTGTTTTGCCAAGAAAACCCCAAAAGGGTAATGAATAGTCAGAAATAACTGAAACAAATGAACAACAATAACAGTGTTTAGGATATCTTCCAACCCTGTGATATTGATTAATTTAAATTTCTCTTGTTATAAATTAATTTATTCATTAATCCTAAATTCACTGAAGGATAACTAAACTCTTGATATATTTAAAGAGCTTATTAAACCATTCAGTCTTCCTTTTTTTTTCAGTCTAAATAGCAACAACTTATCTAAACTTTCCAAATGGATGCTACCACATGGACCCTTCATCCATTTGCATTCTTTTGGCTCTTTCTTTGGCCTCTCTTTCTCATTTTTCTTTAGCTTCTCTCAAGTCTGTGTCAGACTAGGAAAAAATATTTTAAGGAGTTTCTATGTAAAAAAGCAGGTCATGTCACCCCATCAGCTATTACACAAGTGAGTTCATGAGTCAAACAAAAAGATTTTGATTTATAAAAGGAAAAAAAAATTAACAAACCCAAAATTAAACCAAGTCTATACCAACTCAACTATCTTATTGGCTATAGATTAATTCATGGTGGCTTGTATGAAATGCCTTGAAATCTTTTAAAATATTATATAATGAAGAACATTAAACATCAATACAAACAACAAAACTTGTTTAGTCACTATTTATACTTTAATTTCAATAAATAAAGTAAGAATACTTTGTCAGTTACTTCCTTTGAGTCTCCAATTATTTTTTTCCCTTTCATCCTCATTTACATTTCCTACAATGATCATACTTAGTGTGCATTTCTGTCTTTTAGTTCTTATGTATAGTAAATAATGGAATTAAAATAAACCCTTGTTAACACCAAGACAGATATGAATCTAGGAGAGCATTACACAGTTATATATCAGATAAGCTTAAGCACCTAGATAACTCAATTATAGCAGGTCTCTTTTAGAGGATGTCCACGGTCATGGATGAGTATCACAATAAAACATTTGACATATTGCTTTGGACTTTTAGGAGAATTTAAGTATTAAGCAAGGTATTTTTTAAAAATTAGGATAAATCAGTTATGCATTAGATTCTGAGAGATATAACCCAGAACTGGAGATGCAGGCCACCATATCTGAGAAAGCACTCTGGTGTAATTTGCAGGGACTGAAAGTTTTTAACTAGGGAGAAGAGTGTAGAACGTATGTTTAGAAAGAACTGGAAACTATGGGGACACCCATCAATTAGGGTATGGTTGAACAAATTTTGTTATATGACTGTAAAAGAATACCAATACGTTGTAAGAAATGCCAAAACAGACAGTTTCAGAGAAACAGAGTGAAGTGAGCAGAAACCAGGAGAACAATTTACACAATAACAACAACAATGTAAAGAAAAACAACTGTGAAAGACTTGAGAACTCTGATTAATGCAATAACCAACCATGATTCCAGAGGAGTGTTACCCATGCTACCCACCTCCTGACAGAGATATAGTGGACTCAGGGCACAGAATTAGTTATATATTTTGGACATTACCAATATGAGAATTTGCTTGACTATGTATGTTTGTTGTGAAAGTTTTGTTTCTCTTTACCCCCCTTCCTAATAGAGTGGAAGGGAAATAGGAGGGAGAAAGGAAATAAAAGGTAAGGAGGAGGTAAGAAAATAAATACTTATTAATTGACATTTTTAAATAAAAAAAAAAAGAATACACACTCAGGAAGAGCCTGAGGAGGTTCTCTTTAATAATTGGTGAGGCCCTCCTGAGTTTCTGGTAAGGTTCTTCTGAATCCCTCTAGTGTGCCATAACTGAGGAATGAGATGCCATGGAATATATTAGGGACATAGAAAGGCCTTTCCAGGCTGTTGACAGGTTAACTCTTTGTTTACAAGATTAGTAATAATGAGGCGTTTGATCTATCACTGAGTACAATACTAAGCCTTAGAAGTCTCTGATTACTCAAGCTCTCGAACCCTGTTCTACTCTTCCCAGGTTCAATGTGAGCATTTTAGATAATCATTTGTGCAAATCATGGCCCAAGCCTTCATCCAGTATAATATTCTATTATCAAGCCAAGAAAGAATCACTCATCCAATAGCAAATGTCTTTCATTAAAATATGAAAGCAATTTTAAAAATGAACAAAAACCCAAGAAAATAACAAGCACTAGAGTGATTTTCTACTCCTCAGAGGTGGGTGGAATCCCTAGCATTTCCCACTATGGTGGACAGGATAGAACATCCCAGGGAAAACTTAAGAGAATGAGGAAGCTGCTACCTAGTGAGTGGGTGGATGCTGTTGGAAAAATTGTCAATCATCGTCCTCATCCCTTCTCAGCCTGCTCTTAGGCACCAGTTTGGCATCTTTCTAAACTCTGGAGATAGGGTAGAATCTTTTCCAGACTCTCAGCTTGGATCTGGGCTCCTTGGGATTCTGCCAGGACTCCTGGTTTGGATGCCATGACAGTCCCAATCTACACGTTCCTCCCTCAGTCTATCCACTGTGTCTGTCACCTGCAGTTTGTCTCTTGATCTCACAGCATCCCCAAACACCCAAAGACTACTTGGATTCAGTCACCACTCCATGCTACATCTTACTTCTTTTTCTTTAGCTTTTGCACCTGCCCTTCTGTTTTCTTCCTTCTTCAAGTTTGTTGGACACAATTCCCATATCCGGATCCAAGTCCTCACAGTAGTCCCTTTACATTTATCATTGAGCTGAAAACTGCCCTGGAGAGTACCCATTAAGGCCAGGACATTTCTGTTATTATTTCATAAGCAGTAATACTTTACTCAACTAACAATACTTTCCTCTGTATGAAGTTCAAGCTGGATTGGCACTGGATTATTTGTTTATTATCACCATCCCATAAAATTTGGCATTTTTTTCATCATGAAACACTGGAGAATGCCCTGACTTTTTTTGTAAATAGCTGTCATCCCTGTGTAGAAAGTTAGAAATTTTCTGAAGCAACTATTAAAATGTATTTTGCTTTGCCTTTATGGAAACAACTAAAAGATGGCAAAGAATATTTAAATAGGAAGTTGAGTTATGTTGAAATTTAAGTCCTTATTGTTTCTAAAGAAACTGTTACCACTACTGAAAATTATGGCTAACATGATGACTTCAGTGATAGGATTAAGAAATTAAGCTTAGAAAGGATCTTGTCAGTATAGGAAATATGGAGGCTAACTGGACCACAGAAAATGCATGAAGAGTTAAATTTTGTTGATAACATTGTTGATACATAAACAAAGCAAAAACTGATATACATGTGTATATATACATACATACATATATGTATGTGTGCATGTGTATATATGTATATGCATGTACATATAATTAAGGGTACAAGAATTTCTACTTGCAAAATTCTCAACCCCAACCTCCCCACTCATCTAGAAAATAGTATCAATGCCTTTCTGATCTCCATATTTATAACCACACCAATGCTGGAAGGACTGATGGGATGTATTAAAACATTTAGTATCTTTTTTTCTGAACATAAGTAGTATCTAATATAAATTCTAATTCAAATTTGGTGGAATGTATTTTAGAGCATATATATTTTATTTGACCTAAAACAATTTAATTTATTAGACATTAGCAAGTCATTTGTTCATTTTATTCACATGAATGCTGATCTGATTTCTAAACGATACAGATTTAAAACAACAAATATAAGCCTAAGCATAATTAATTTTGTTAAATGATACTGAAAAATGTCAGGCATATCACACAATTACACTGTAAAATTTGTGCTTTTCTTTCTCCTGATCATTTGGTGGGTTTACTCTACGTATTTATGTATCTACCTATCTATTCCATAGAGCTTGAGGAGATTCCGGTAAAGGGCACACTCTGCTGGACAGAGCCAGACTTTACATCAAATACCTGTCCCAGAAGGAAGGGTTCCTGATCTGCTTAGCTAAGTGCACACTGAAAGAATTGCTACAATGGTATCATCAAGTTTTGAATGGAGAACTTGTACCAAAATGCTTATCAAGCATAATCAGGAAATAACGTGCTTTTCAAACATAAACATGTATGTGTGTGTGTGAATAAATTAATTTACCTTTGGTTTTTCATCCAGTATCTGCTGACGGATCTCCTTGTGTTTCTCTAAAAGTTTCTCCTGCCTTTTGCTTTGTGCATCTTCTAGCTGAAAAAAGTAGAAACAGGATCAATTTCTTTGTTTTCTTTTTTTTCTGACATTTAGGACAACCACAAGATTTTAAAAATTTTTCTTTTCTTCCCTTCACCCCCAATGAGAATGAAAGAGAAACAAAACCCGAGTTAGAGTCATTTCAAGCAAAACAAATTTCTTCATTGACCACGTTGAAATAAAAGTGTGTGTGTGTGTGTGTGTGTGTGTGTGTGTGTATGTGTATCATTCTGCACTATGAATATTTCATCTCTCTATACGGATATGAGTAGCATGTTTCAGCATCCACTCTCTGGAATTGTGGTTGGTCATTACATTGATACAAGTTTCTAATCCTTTCTAAGTTGTTTGTCTTTATCATATTGATGTCATAGTACAAATTATTCTCCTGGTTCTGTTTACTTTCCTCTGCATCAATTCATATAAGTCTTCTCAGGATATAGGTTCAATTTAATAAAAACATTTAAGATCACACTTTGAAAGTAAATGAAAACTTTGTAAAGCTCTAGCAACATAGCTAACTGTTTAAATATTTTATACTCTGGCTCAACGACCTGAAATGCCCTTGCTAGCATTTATTAATATATTAATTCAACAAGCATTTATTTAATACCTAATCATGGCAGGTTCTGGGAATAAAAAGAAGAAAATTAAAGAAATAGTCCCTGCCCTCAAGGAACTCACATTCTATTGGTAGGAAAAATATGTACATAAATGAATAAATCCAAAACACATGCCGAGTAAATACATAGTAAAATGGGAGGGGAACACATAGGAAAGGGGGGATCAGGAAGTCCCTCTGCTAGGAGATGGAACATAAGTACCACACAAGTATCACTTTTTTAGTTTCTGCTTTTAGGGGATGTGCCATACAATGAACTCTCAAACAATTTCCAAACAAAAAACAGATAAGCTGGCACCTGAGAAAAGCTCTTTAGGTAGCTCAAGGAGGTTTAAAATAATTTTTTTTTGTTATCACTAACTTCATAACCTTTTCAGCCTGAGTTTCCTTTTCTGTAAAATGAGGGTGATTTTTCAAAATCACCCTCATTTGTAATTTAAGGCATCTACCTTACAGGTTTGTTTTAGGGATCAAGTAAGATAGTATATGTAATGCTTTGCCAGCTTGAAAGGGCCATACATTAGCTATTCTTCTTCTGTGTGCTGAAATATATGGAAATAACTGTCCCTCTGATTGGAGGGTGGGGCCATGAACTACAAGCTTCTATATAAGGAGAGATTCCCCTGACATCCTCAACCACCCTCTCAACTTTTTATATTTTGTTTCCTCCCATTAGATTGTAAGTTCCTTGAAGGCAGGGTCTTTTCCTCTCCGCCCCCAATTTGTAGCACCATATCTTAACACTATGGCAGGTGCTTAATAAATATCTATTAAATATTTATTATTGAGGAGCTACAGTTTCATTGTCTTTTAGAAACTGGAACATTTTGTGCTGTCAAAGAGGAATGAAACGGCTGACGTACTCTCTTTATGTACTGCACCACCTCTTGGATGTATGACCGGATCATTTCAGTCTTCTCCCTAGAAGCAAATAATCAGTGCATCGTTAGGCTAGTATAAGACAGGTTATGATCCTTACAATTGATTTGGTCTCAAAATTGCTTCTGTATTAACTTTAAAATGCTTTTTGAACATTACACATATAATCCAGCACTATAGATGCTTACATTATTAAGGGGTTACACAAATGCTGTTGAAATTTTAGCTAATTTGGGGTCTTAAGAGCTGAGGATCAGATTCTACTCTGAGGTATCTCCATGGAAAGAGAATTAAGGCCAAGTGTTCAGCCTTATTTGTGGAGGATGGTTCCTACTTTATCTGAACAGCCTTTGGCTATTAGAGATAGTTTCCTCTTTTCTTATCTAAATGCTTTTTGTGGTGGTGATATGCAGATAAAGAATTATTTTTAAATGTTTAGTTTCAATAGAAAAACCCCTAAAAATTGAACTGGAATTTATGTGAGTGAATAAATATGTAGCAGATTCAGAAGGAAGTCTTCCACTTTCCAATGAGGCTTTCCAAGGGTTTTTTTGCTGGTATTTTTACATACTCTTCCATTTGGCTCTTGTCTTTTGACTTTGCTTCTGTTATCTTCTCCTGCCTTTTTCTATCCATTTTCTTCTTCAACTCTTTCTTTTCTCTAAAAGCCAAAGATGCAATAAAGAGAAAAAAAAGGCAGATGAATGAAACTTTTTACTGAATATATTTATAAATATATTTTTATAAATACATCTTCCAATCTTAATGAAAATTTCTCCTTACTTCTCACAAATTTCTTTCAGTTTCTTTAGTTGATTGTTCTGGCATTCTTCTGCAACATCTGTCAACTTCTGAATAAGCTGGAGAAAGAAAATGACAAATGGTAGATTTCAGTTATTATGAATGAAGATTCCCTCCTACACACCACTTGAGTGGAAAATCCCCAGACTGATATTTAGAAAGAAGTCATACAGCTAACAACAATGATAAGTTACAAATATTTTCTGGCATGTCCCCAACTTTAGAAACAGAGATAATGAAATGAAGTGATTGGAAGATAGAGGAAGTACCAGGGGTGCCAGGGATAAACCAGAGCAGTGTAATATAAGTGGATAGAGCACTTGACTTAGATTCTGAAAGACCAGAGTTCAAATACTGCCTCAGACACTTACTTGTCGTGTGACTCTGGACTAGTCATTTAACCTTTTAATGCATCGGTTCCTTCATCTATAAAATGGGGATAATAACAGCACCTATATGATAGAGCTGTTGTAAGGATCCAGTGAGTTAAAATAAGTAAAGTGCTTTGCAAACCTTAAAGGATTTTTGCTAGCTATTACCATCACGTTGTTCTTGTTGTTGTTGTCATATCACCATGGAAACCAAGGAAGAGTAGCTTCAAAAAGAATTGTAGCTATTAATTTTGACTATAGTCACACTTGAGCTACCAGACAATGAAGTAGAGAGGAGAAAAGGCAGGAGGTAACAGTTACCAGTTCACATTCTCATTTGGACCCTAGAATCAAAGCAGGGTCCTTCCCAATATTAGAAGGCATGCTCATTCCAAACACTGCATTCCTAACTGTGTCTTTCAAATAACAGTCTCTCAATAAATATTTATCGATTAATTTTATGTAGTTGATATTTCACCCAGTATAATAGTTATTTATAGGTAATGTGATAACAAATCAACAGTATGTGAAATTAAATTTTCAGTTCTAATATATGAGAATGAAAGAGTTTGGAGAAATGAACATGTATAGAATTATAATGAAGGATCCATATTAACTAAACATTAATATGAAACTTGATTCATTCGTCTGTTTACTTAAAATCTACAAAAATATTAAGTTAGACTTGGGACAGTAGGATCACTACTGATTCAAAAGAAAATTGATTATAGTGACATTCAAAATGAAAGGATTTAGAGAATATAATTTAATTTTTGATGAGATTTATTAAATATCCTTGTGATAAAGTAAAAACACCAGAAGCCTATTTTATTATGTTTTATTTTGAATCCTGATATATACTAACTGCATGACCTTGGGTACACATGTCACTTAAACTTTCTGATTCTCAAAGTTCTCATTTTTAAAATGAAGATAATACATAAGTGACATATCTTACATGGCCACAAGGAAAGTACTTTGTAAACCTTGAAGAACCATACAGAGTTCCAAAAGTGAGTGCATTTTTAAACTTTAATAGTATAAAACCTAGAGTGCAGGTAGATGATGTGATGGCTAGAATGCCGGGCCTGGAGTCAAGAGGACCTGAGTTCAAATGTGATCTCAGACACTTGCTAGCTGTGTGACCCTGGGCAAGTCATTTAACTCTCTTTGCCTCAGTCTCTTCATCTGTAAAATGAGCTGGAAAATGAAATGGCAAACCAGTCCAATATCTTTGTCAAGAAAACCCTAAATGGGATCATGGAGATTTGGACGCTACTGAAATGACTTAACAACAACAAACTGCACTAAGAATTTTGGGATACCCTGCATGATGGGGAGTGATTTGTTAGTATTGTTGTTATAAGCAATTTTACCTATATCCTTGATATTCTTCTCATGTTTTAGCAATGCCATGTTGATTACCTGAAATCTGGCTTTCTCTAGACATCATCACATCTCTGGAAATTAAGTGGCACAATGATTAGAGCTCTGGGCCTGAAGTAAGGAAATCTGAGTTCAAACACAGCCTCAGACTCATAACTAGCATGTGTGGCCTTGAAAAAGTAGGTTAGCAGATGCTGTCACCTCATTTTCCTGAAGTGTAAAATAGAGAGAATTATAGCATCTATCTCATCGAGTTGTTGTGAGTCTCAAATGAAATAATAGCTGTATAGCTTTTGTTCAGTTGTTTCCGACTCTTCATGACCCCATTTGAGGTTTTCTTGGCAAAGATACTGGACTGGTTTGCCATTTTCCTCTCCAGTTCATTTTACAAATGAGGAAACTGAGGCAAACAGGGTTAAGTGACTTCCTTAGGGTCACATAACTAGTAAGAGTGTAAGGCAGGATTTGAACTCAGGAAGATGAATCTTCCTGACTTAAGGCCCGCCACTCTATCCAATGTGCCACCTAGTTGGCCGAGCACTTCACACAATACCTGGCATCTAGTTGGTGTTTAATAAATGCACGTTCCCTCCCTCCCATATCTGGTAGTTGTCCATACTGTCTTTTCCACTAGAGAACAAATCTGTTCTCTGCTTTGTGGCTACCCCTCCTCCTGCACCCTCCCTCTTGGAAAAGTAGAGTTTGGTTCTGTACTATTTAACATTTTCATGTACAAATTGAATAGACAAATATGGCATGCTTACAAAATTCATATGTGACACAAAGATGGGAGGTACAGCCAACACACTAGAATAAAGAATTAAAAAGATCTTGAGGTGCTACTACATTGGAATGAATCTAAGAGGAAATTTAATACGGATAAATGGGGAATCTTACACTAAGGTTAAAAAGAAAGATAAACTTCCTGAATATGTGAGATGAGGGACATGTGTCCAAATGGTAGTTAGTATGAAAAAGATCTAGGGACCTTAGTGGCCTGAAAGTTCAATATGCGTAAAAAGAATAATCTAGAAGCTAAGAAAGTTGCCAGATTATATACTAAGTCAGAAAGAAAGCTTAGTAAGATTACTAAGAAAGTGATTTTGAACTTCCTTAGTCAAAGACTAGGGAAATAAGAGTGCCTGGGTAATCTGCCCTGGTCAGATCTTATATGGAGTACAGTGGCAAATCTTGGATGTGCATTTTAGGCATTGATAACCTGGAGAACATCTGCATGAAGGCAATCAGAAGGTGAAGTCAAGTCAGCAAGCATTTTATTAAGCATCTACTATGTGCCAGGAACTGTACTAAGCCCTGGGGATACAAACAAAGGTAAAAAATAGTCTCTGCCACTGAGGAACTCACAATCTAAGAAGCAGACAATCTGCAAATAACTACGTGCTGAGTGGCACAGTGGATAGAGCAGAGGGCCTGGAATCAGGAAGATCTGAATTCAAATCCGACCTCAGATTCTTACTACCTCTGTGACCCCAGGTAAGTCACTTAACCCCTATTTGCTTCAATTCCTCATCTGTAAAATGGAAACACATTAGAGATGGAAATGGCAAAGTACTCCAGTATCTTTGCCAAGACAACTCCATGGACAAAATTCCATGGGGTCACACAGAGTCAAACTGAACTAAACTGAGCAAGTACTGCTTTGCCTGTATCCCCCAAATTTTGAGATGGCCAGGTGGTTCAGTGGATGGAGCACTGGGCCTGGAATCAGGAAGATCTACCTTCAAATCTGGCCTCAGGACACTTACTAGCTGTATGACCCAGGGCAAGTCACTTAACCTCTAATAGCCTTAATCCACTGGAGAGAGAAATGGCAAACTACTCCAGTAGCATGGTTTGAGAACCCTATGGACAGTATTGGCATGCTATGATCCGCAAGGTTATGGAGAGTCAGACACAACTGAACTATTTAACAACAACAATGTACAAACAAAATACACAAACACAGACACATTATATAAGTATGTGTGTATATATATGTGTGTGTGTGTATATATATATGTGTGTGTGTGTGTTTGTGTATGTAGGTATATGTATATGTGTGTATATATATATATATACACATATACATATACATACCTATACATATGTGTGTGTATATATGCCTGTGTGTGTGTGTGTGTGTGTGTATATATATATACATATATATTTATTTATTTATATTTGGAGATAAAGGTGGGATTTTAGTTGAGATCTAAAGGCAGCTAGAAGGTGGAACCAAGAAGAAGAGAATTCTGTACAAGAAAAATAGCCAGTGAAAATGCACCAAGTTAAGAGGGGTGTAAGGAATGGCCTCCAGTGAGGTCAATGTCATTGGATGACAGATGTGTAAGAAGACTAGAAAGATAGGAAGGGCCCAGGTTATGAAAGGGTGTGAAAGCTAGAATATTTTGTATTTGATCCTGGAAGTAATAGAAAGCACTAGAGTTTAATCTACAAGTGAGGCAATTTTTGCAGACCTGAGCTTTAGGAAGATCATGGAGAGAAATGATTATTAATAACCAATGATTTGGGGAGATCCAGAGTTCCACCTTTTTCTAAAGTCCTCATTTCAAAGCTCAGTCTCTGAAGGTTAAACTAGCTTTCTCCTCAATGGTGATCAGACCCCACCCAACCTTACAAGGAATTTAAGGTGGGGAAACCCATTGTGCTCCCAATAGGTTTGGGTGGGGATAAATTCTTTGATTAGATTGCCCAAGGTTGGACAATTCAGAAGTAAATGACATAATCAAAGTTACATTCTCCCCCCTCCCTGCCACCACCCAGACCCTCATTGTAATATTCATTTTCTCTTATTACTTGCTAACCAATCAGAGTTGATTGCCACCCTCAGGAACACCCTCTCTTCCAAGGACATATAAATTGTGAGCCCACCATGAGAAATCTCTGGAATTCTAGGGCGGCACTGACCATTCTATTAATAAAATACTAGATTTATTAATAAAATGATTAATTACCCACAAAAATATCTCTTGAACTTTTTAAACATCACACTGTTTTGATAACTGAGTAGAGGATGAAATGGTGTAGGAGTAAACTTGAGGCTGGGAAACCAACCTGTAAGCTGTTAGAATAGTCCAAGTGTGGGTGATGAGAGCCTGAACAAGGCGGTGCCACTGACAGGGAAGACAAGGAGCTATATATGCATATGAGATATGTTGGGAAAGAAACAAGAAGAGATTGGTTATTAGAGTGAGGAGTTGAGAATGACATCTATGTTGAGGGTCTATGAAGAGCCTAGAGATTATGACACACACACATGTGTCATAATATGAAACATGTCA